GTACAATTAAGCTCCCTGAAATCAATATAAAGTGCAAAGATCATTTAAATATTTTAGTCATAGACATTCGTATTCTATCTGCCTGAATAAAGTAATCTCAAGAGATAACAATGATCAGTATCACGAAGGGTATGGATGTCTTTTTTGGATCTGTCTGTCAATGAATTAAGAAAGCATGGGGCAACCCACAAAACAAGATGAAAAGTTAATGTTTGTTTCTTACCAGTCATGATTCACAAACATAGGTTATGCAGAGGTGGACCAAACGGTACTCACAGTGTCATAGAAAACAAATGGTGCACCGTCCTGAGGTTTTAAATGAATGAAAAATTTGGCGGGACCATATTAAAACAAATTCGAAAACACTCAAACAAACATGACTGAACAACACAGTAGAATGCAAAATTCTGATAGATCTTTGTGTTAAACATGAGGTTTCAAAACAATATCAAGCTTACATCTGTGCCGCCGGGCCACTTGGAAAACACATTTATTGGTTTGGGACAGTAGAAAGGTGTTTGAATGGGAACATTTTAGGACTGTGATACACGTGGAAAGGGCATGAGGAAATCAGAAATCAGATCGTTTGAATGGCAACTACATTTCTTTGTCTTTTGCAAGCCCCTTGAATGCGTCTGTGCAAAATGTTTTGGAGCCAAAAAAGTTGCTGTCATATTTTTTAAATAACTGACTTTCTGTGGGAAATGAGGAAGTGGCATCGGCGTTGCTGAGAGACTTAGATCGGTTTGCGAGATGTCATCAAAGAACTTTTAACAAATGATCTCTATAAAGAAAGGTCTGTGGTTTTGGGCTCTTTGTAGGCTGGGAGAGGTAAAAATAATTTTTTAGAATTAACCCATTTCTGCTGCAAGTAGAGAATAAGTCACTTCTTCACCTAAAGATCGCATGATGTAGTAAACACAGTCTGTCACATAGACCTGGTTTTAATTTCTAGCTTCAGACCTTGGACAGGAAACTAAATTTCCTCAGGTCTCATTGTTCTCATCCGAAAAGTGGGACAAGTATTAGGATGAAAGGAGGTTGCCGTGAATCCATGTTTGGTCTCCCCCCCCCCACCCCTTTTTATTTTCTCATGCCTTTACATTCCTACCCCCATTCCTTTTGTGCCCCGGAAGTCAACACTGAATAGGTGCTCAATATGAGGAGGTCAGGCCTACTAACCTGGGTCTTTACCAACTCGGAGGTTCTCTTTGATAATTCATGGAGGCTTTTTGCTAAGGTAGCATTTCCAGAAATCAACGGCCTAAAATGTAAACACATTTAGATCCTACTGTTTATTGGCACATCAGAACTGAATTTACACAAAAGGATGGCCTACAAACAAGCAGAGACTAGCTGTGTGGCATTTAGATGCAAATTATGTATGCATAATTGATTCCTTAAAAGGTTAAATGTCCTTAGCATATGTATGGATAGTGATACACCCATGATGAGTTCATAATCATTATGGCAGAGGCTTTATTTTACCTAATTCTAAAGTAAATGTCATGTTTCTTCTTTGGAGATTCCAGGATGGTAGTCAGAAAAGCATGTTTGCAAGTAGATAACTGGTAAGAGAAGATATTTCCCCAATAGGAGGACTATTCGTGTAGCTATGAGGTGCTGACTGACACTAAATTCTCTTTGGAATTGAATTACATATCGAGGACAAATGCTAACTATAAGGAAAGGCCAAATACATGACTTTTTTTTTGCTTTGTTTTTGCAGTATATTTGCAGGAAGAAATAACTACCCCAAACACACTAGAATCCTAAATTGAAACAGAGAAATCTGACAATTTGGTGAATCCTTTAGAAGCTTTTTTTAGAAGCTTATTGTAGCTCTAAAGGACTGGTCTTTTTTTATGTCCATAAACAATTATGAAGATGCTGAGAAAATTAATAAAAGAATCAAGTTACAAAGAAATATGCTGAATAAAATACCATAATATATGCCATAGTAATCAGAAAAAAAAATAGGCAATATGTTGCATGAGGATATATAAGTAAGTGGGGAAAACTATATAAATAGGAATGATTATTCCAAAAATTTAAGTTATGGGCTCTTTTGGGAAGGAAGCAAATATAATCTGTATGGTGCACACAGAGATTTTTGCTGGATGAATTGAACCATGGGACTTCTTGTTGTTTTTCAGTATTGTTATAAAATCTCTTAAAAACATGTTATATTTCCTAATTTTTTTAAATGGAAAAAGCAAAATAAAAGAGAAACCACGAATTAAGTTGGTTTAAAAAAACACTAACATATTAATAAAGGTAAATACATTCATATGAAATTGATGATGTATCTTCATATTGTATTTTTTTTAAAATAAATACATGTCATGTGCAAAACACAACTAAAGTGTAAGTCCCTAGAAGTGTTGAAGCAAGTAGATATACGAGAAAAGGTATACCAGGTTAATTTTAACAAAAGATAACTATTGTAGCTCTTTTATTAATGGGAAAACTGGATGTTAGGACAAAAGATAATGTTGTTTATTCTCTGTCTTTAATTTCTGTTTCTCCATTCATCCTCTGAGCCTCCTTCCATCCAGGCATCTACTCCAACCCTCCAGGACTTTTGATAAATCATCTCCACAGATTTTTGTCTTATTCCTACCTAACCATTTCCACAGCCTAGGGTTTTTAATCTCTCAACTCCCGTAGTACTTATAATCTGTCTACCATTAACTTTGTGCTTATTATAAGCTGTGTTTTAGTGTTATTGGTAGTCATGCGTTTTTTAAATTAAATTATTATGTCCTAGAGCTACAGACTATACCTTATTCTTCTTTTAACACCTCCTGTCACCTCACCCTAGGACCTGCCATATGGTAGAACCATGTCACCTGGCATATAGTAGAAAGTCAATAAACCCGTCAGCAGTCGACTGAAAAATGGCCTCTGAAAGCGCATTAAAAGCTCTTTCAGTGTGTTTGGGTACTTTGCCAATGCGATGCACTTACATTTTCTAAGCAATCTCTTAGCCAGAGATTTCGAATGGAGAGAGGAAGACACACTATGATAAGAGAGTGGCCAACCCAAAGCTGTGCGGAGTTGGTGAAGCTAAGACCGTATCCCCCGATAAGAGGGCGCCCCCCTCTGGACCTAGTTGGGAACTCCCGCATGTTCACCACTGATCTTTAAGAGCAGGGGCTGCATCTAATGAACTTTTTGCCTCCGCGCCTGGAACAAAGTCCAACATATATTGTACACAGTTAATAAAGGCTTCTGCAAAGTGTGAGAGAATTAAATATTGGAGTCGTTTAACTCACCCCCACGGCTTCTGAACAGCCAGCCACTGAAGGCTTCCCAATAGGAGTCTTTTAGCTCTGGTTTCTCTGCACAGGGCGAGGGTGACCAGAGGGCTAGGAGAGCCAGCCCATCCCAGGCGGGATGCAAATGTTAACACTAGAATTTGTACTCTGGGCTTAGGGGTTGATAGGAGCAAAGCTCGGTAGAGTGAATGAAGTTTGTCCATGGTGGTGGACTATGGAAACACACAACAGGTGTTTAAAAGGAGACCGGAAAGCCCATGTGGTTGAAGTTTAAGTCCTTGTCCTGCTGGCCATAAGGAAGTAGCTGGAATTCCTCCTTTCCCATGACATACAAGATAGGCTGTTTGCTGTAAACCTCTTTTTTAAACATACTATTTTTTGAATAGGCAGCACATAAAGCATATGGTATGAAATCCAAAGGGTATAATAGGGTATGTGGTAAAAAATAAATGTTTCTACTACTTTTGCCCAAAGTTGACCTCCCTAGAGACATCTACACTTACTCGTTATTCCACTTAATTTTAGGTATAGATAAGCATTTCATATTCGGGGAAACATATAAATGTTTGTATGTATTTATATGTTTTCAGACAAATAGTTCCGATAATAACATACTATATTGAATCTTGACTTTTTTAAATTTCATAACTTATGCTATAATTCTTACCATTTTTTATTTCTATTATCTTTAAAATCCCAGTCTCTTATTGTCTGGTATATTGATGGTGTTCAACATTATTTTCATGAGTGAATGAATGAATGACATAATAATAGTCTCTAATTCATTCTGACCCTAAAAGTCACCCACCAACAGGTTTTCTAAATGCTTTATCTTATACCTCATCTCCAGTATACATCTTTTTTACTATAAAAATCATATTCATCCTTCAAAGTTAATCTCAAAGAACTTGTCCTGCGGGAACCTTCCCTGAATATTGCCTCCCAGGCTCTCCTCCAGGAGTTCTCTCAAAGCACCAAACAATTGCCTACCATATTTTATGGTCCTCCGATTCTCACTTGTTAATATAATAGCCATGAAGATGCAACTAATGCTCTTAATAGTAATTTTTACTGAGAACTTACATGTACTAGACACTTAGCTAAAACCATCCTATGCATTATCTCATTAATCCCCACAACACACCTTTAAATTTAATCACATTATATCCTCCTTGTAGTTTATCTGTCAGTGCCCTTCCAGTATCATTTTGACTCACCCTTGAGATCATGAGCACACTGTTTATGCACCAATGGTTTCCGGCATCTTGCTGCTCTAGTGACGTCTGGAAACAGTGCTTAGCCCAAGCGGATAGGGCAGAAGCACCAACATACTGACACCCTGGAAGTGACCCTTAACTAATGAGATATAGATTCTAGTGGATAAATACTTCAGCTTTCTCTCCCCTCAGTGGGAAAATGTTGAGTTGTGTTCTACACGGGTCACTTCTAGGGTCCGTGTGGGATAGAGCCTCAGTAGCCTATAAGAGTAAACCCCTTTTTAGCTCACCCTTTATAACCTTTCCTTCCTTTTCTTTCTCAATTGCCCACTTGCTCACTTTTTGGAATCACCTGCCAAATAAACTGCTTCTACTCCAATCCTTGTCTCAGGGCCTGCTTTTAGGAAGTCAAAGCTAAGGAGCCTGAGGGTGAGCGTGTGTAAGTAACTTGTTCAAGTTATCTATACATCAAGTGTCAGATTCAGGATATGAACCCGAAGCCATGCTCCAAAGCACCATACATTACTGCCAACTAGATGGTAAGAGCCTCAAAGCAGGCCCTGAGTACCGTGACACCCCACCAGTGTCTCAACATGCAAGCCAAAGTCAGAGCTTCTGCCAGTCAACAGCATTGTATGTTTTGGTGTGTGTCTTTTACCTCAGTGTATCAGGACACGCGTTTTAGGCATGGTTAGCTAAACATGTGCTCAGAATTTTGTTAGTGAAACTGAGTTAAAGACAAAAGTTTCTGATGCTTGTTTAGGTGCTAAGTGCCTTCTCATTGTTTTACAGATAGCAACTTCATCCTAGCCAATGCCCAGGTGGCGAAGGGTTTCCCCATAGTCTACTGTTCTGATGGCTTTTGTGAGCTTGCTGGATTTGCCCGAACTGAAGTCATGCAGAAGAGTTGCAGCTGCAAATTCTTATTTGGGGTTGAAACCAACGAGCAACTGATGCTTCAAATAGACAAGTCACTGGAGGAAAAAACAGAATTCAAAGGAGAAATTATGTTCTACAAGAAGAATGGTGAGTTGGCTTTCTTTGATTGGTGCTCACTGGACAACAGTGAAAGGTCACCTTCTTTCAACTCGGTCATTGCTCCATCACTCCCATTAAGGCTTAATGGTATTTTACATAAATACAATCTGTTATAGAAGTTCCACAGATGACTTGGCTGGTGGCCTTGTTTTAGCCCATAGCATAAACTGCCTGAAAATTTAGCATTAAAATTATAACTTTGTTGTCAATATATGAACTAAGTTAATACGTGTTAAAATAAAGTGTATTACTAGTACATATGGTCATTCTTAAATATATATTAGATGTGATAGTTGTTAATATATTAACAAATGATCTTTTCTCCAGAGATATTTTTCCAAATCGTATGCCTTTAAGAACCACATCTCAACCTCAGTCATGAAGGTCAGGACTCCAAGTATTTGCTGGCAGAAAAAGAAGTTAATGTAAAGGACATCAGCATAAGCATTTTTTCTTCCAGTTCCCTGGCCACAGAGTCTTTCTTACTACTCTTTTAAATTCTAAGGACAGAATAAGAGATACACAGTGTCTCAGAGCAGGAGCGGATTTGCCTGGACTCAAAATAGCCATTGGAATAATACTAAGATTTCCTTGTGGCTACAGTTCTTTGACTCTCCTCTGAATGAAAAAAAGATCTAGGAATGGGTCTGATATCTCTAGTACTTGGGTCTTATGTGGGAATACATATCATTATCCCGTAGGCCCTGATAGTTGAGGTGAATCCAGGAGGCATCATTATACTGGGAAAGTGCTAAATCAAAAATTACAATAAATCATTATTTTTTAGTTTCTATCTCTTTCTTTAGTAGGTTTCCTTAAAGTAACAAACACTCATGAGTTTTTGCTGGGCACACTGCTGCCAAGCTAGAGAGTACATTTCCCAGCCTTCTCTGCAGTTAGGTTGAGCATGTGACTAAGTTTGGGACCAATGATACATAAGAAGGAATGATTTATACAACTTCTAGGTAAAATCCCTAGAAAATGAAATTGTTTGCCCTCTAATTTCTCTTCTCCTTTCCCATGGTGCTATGGCCTGAGTTGTGTCTTCTCAGAATTCATATACTGAAGCCCTAACCCCCAATGTGATTGTGTTTGGAGATGGGGCTGTTAAAGAGATAATTAAGGTGAATTGAGGTCATAAGGGTGGGTCATGACTACTGTCCTTAGAAGAAAAAGAAGAGATACCAGGGGTACTCAGACTTAGGTCATGTGAAGGCACAGTGAGAAGGCAGCTGTCTGCGAAACAAGGAGAGAGGCCTCAAAAGAAACTAGCCCTGCTGGCACCTTGGTCTCAGGCTTCCAGCCTCTAGAACTGTGAGAAAAAGAATTTCTGTTGTCTAGGCCACTCAGTCTGTGATATTTTGGTATGGCAGCCCGAACAAACTAATACATGTGGGTCAGAATGTATGGGCCAGCTTCAACCATTTGACAAGGACAATACCACAGAGGAAGGCAGAGCAACAATACAAAAGGAA